GAAGATGTTATAGTGGTGATTTTTAGTCAACCATTTAGTTGTGAGTCATCGGTCTTTTCCTCAGTTGCCATTTCAACGAAATTAGTCAATACGATAACGTTTACCGAGTTTTTTTTTCAATGTTTCGTTGCGCTTTTTTTCGACCCCCTTTATAATTTTCATATTTTTTATCAGTCATTTTACCCTATTTGGCTCACAACATACTACGTCGTTTTGTATTACCGAATTCCAAAAGTAATAAAAATTTAACATATTTTTTTTTTTTTTAATTGAAGCTGGTTGAAAAGGAGGATGATAGATAGGGGCGAAGACCCCGTGCTGGCGCCGACCGATGAATCCTGTGATAGGCGGACCAGGCTAAAAAATTTTCACAGGCTTTTTCACAAGTATGTCTTTGGTTCAAATGTTTTAAAAAATATAGATTATTTATTTATTCAATTTCGCCACCTATTTATTTAATTTTTTGCTCTGTCGTCTCATTAGGCATCGCCTAATTCTTCTTTTAAAGCAACATGGCATTGTGCAAAAAAAAAAGAAGAAAATGTTCAATTTTCAAAGATCTGTTTTAGTATTAACATAATTTTGATGCTCATTAACTGAGATCTATTCGAGGCGAAAGAAAGACCTTTAAGCTGTTCTTAAAGCTTGAGGTCACTGACACTAAAAAACTTTATTTTTGACTATAGACTAAATGCATTTATAGGGTGACACTCACCATCATTTCACCAACGTAGAGGTATTTAAAATTGAATTTGTAATGCATTTAGGGGTGAATACCTTATCAGCAATGGATTTTTGATGGTATTGCAAAAGGTGTTTCGAGCACTCGGTGTATTCATTGCTTCATTTCCATATATTTTCTTATTAGCTACACTTTTATTTTCAACGGTATCTTACGGGGTGATTTATGTCAGATTTGCTCAACGTTTACAGGTGATATCACAGATCGATGTTATTGAAAGTCTTTAATAGCTGTTACATATCGATTAAATTTTGTTGTTTTCAACGTCTCTGTATATCAGATAAACAAAAACAGAATTTGTTTATTAAATTCTTGAGAAAAAAAATGAGTGAAAGAAGTTTGTCAGCATTTTGCTGTTTAATAGAAATTTACGCTTTTAGAATATTGTTTGTTAGATAAGCACCAAATTTCTTCTCAACTTTCAATATTGGTATTTATTTCTGAATACAGTAAGAATACAAAAACTTTTTAACGCTGAATTAACGCTGACAACTGCTTTAGAAAATTTATTTTGTTCTTCTACTTTTTAATTGATTTGAAGTTAGTTATAAAGATTATTGGTAGATTAGATTACTATCCAGTTTCATTTTGAAAAAAAAGGTATGTTTTTTGAAGGACGGATTTACTTCTGCAAATTCACCGTCTCGTTATGAAGAAGAAATTTTTACCCAATTTACCGGTTCTGATAATTCACACACTCAACACTTTGTGGCATTAATACGAGCTATAGATGGAAGTAGTATGTTGAGGCTTGATAATCTTCAAAGGGCGTTAGATGTTAGCAGATTTTTATGTTATTTTTTGACTTGAAAATTTCTGTCTTTTATTGATTTCTCTTTTAAAAATTTTATTTGATACTCATACAAAAATGCTGATATATAAATTATACAAGACAAAGATTATGCCTATATAAGTACTAGCGTCATTCTGTACGCCATCTAATCCAAAGTATAGGAACGAACTACCATTTTAAATGTTTGAATTCCAGCATTGCTACAGGTTGCTGAAATCACTTTTTTTCAACAATGAATTTGTTAACTTTATGAAGTATCTCGTTGCCATATTTTAAGTTATTTACTTTTTATATGTACATCGTATGTTTTATTTGTGTCTTTTTAAGGTTAATAAATTTCTGAGGTATGAATTTGCTGTGGAGGTTGACGGTGTTTTGTATCGACAAGGCAACTTTTGTAAACAGTATTGTGAAATGAATAAGCCTCTTGATATATTGAAGGTTTAATTTGATAAATTTTGAAATAGAGTTTTTATAGATTGGGGTTATAAAAATGCTATCCAGTTTTATACTTTCTAAAAACTTATAATTATCAGGTTTATTATTAGTCGTAGTGCAGTCTTCAATAATCTTCTTATGCTTTTTTTTACAGCTTATTTTTTTTTTTTGGTTTTAAATGGTGCTCTTTTACTGTTTTTTTTTTTT